CAGTGCCATGTCCGCACCCGGGATCCGAACCAGCGAACCCTGGGCCGCCGAGAAGCAGAACGTGCGAACTTAACCGCTGCGCCACCGGGCCGGCCCCTTATAAATTTGTTTTTAACATATTAGTGTTTAATAATATAACTAGAACCAGTGATGATAATGCTTAATGGACTTTAACTTCTCAGTAGTAAATGATTTTTTAAACTACAAAAAAAAAAAGTCTAGTAAGAGTAGAGTGTATGGCAAGTTAAGTTTTAATTAGAAGTTAGTGTGATATAAGGACCTACATAGTGGAGGCCTACCTGGGGTGTGCCAGTCAGAGGAGGACACTACATGGGAGTAGCCAGCTCACCAGGAGGCATTTAGAGGCATTTGAGAGCTGAGGGGTCTTCACAGAGAGACAGAGTATAGAGTAAATGATATTTGGAGGGGGCCAAAGAAAACTTTTACTTTTTCATAAATTTGCCTATAGCTAATACTGCCCTGTTGACTTGCATCTGGGCATCACCAATTTCTGGATCTTAAGACATATAAAAGTCAAAAAGTTATATATTAGCTAATTAAGTTTTAAATAACACCATTTATTATTTTGGGACACTTTCTAAGATTGCATCAACCCATGACAGCAAGTAATGATGGACATTTGTCACTTTTAATGATCCAAATGAGCACTCCCTGTACTTCCCATACTGTTCCCCACGGTTACTCAGAATAAATCCTTGGGAATGCAGAGATTCTGTGGAACGCTTACTTTGAGTTGCTTGTAGAACTTCCTGGTTTGAGAAATAAGCCTTTAGAAACTTAGCAATCTTTATAGACACTTGTAATACCCAATGAAGCAAAAATTCTAGGAGGGAGTGTCCTTTTGGGGACTCTAATTGCACACCAAATCACCAGAGAGGTGATATTGATCATAGAAGTAAAAATAATACCCAAAGCTCTGTTCCTAAAGCCCCAAATTCTGCTAAAACAGGTTGTCCCATATCTAGGAGACCCCAAGTAGTGAAAGACCAGGCCTCTAGGCATTGTCCCCAGAGTCCTAACCTACATTAAGACCAAAGGAGTTAAAGATTATCACAGGAAGTGCATGTGGAAATGTAGTATTGTGTGTGTGTGTGTTGGAAGGAAGAAGCAAAGAGGAAAGCAAGGAGGGAGCCAATTACAGATGTTGTGTGACTTCAAAGCTTGAACCTTTGTATTGAGCAAGTTAGAGCCACATCCTCAATCTCAAAATCTCAAATGCCCTTTAGTCACTTGGGACCATGCTTAGAACATCAAGAATAAGACACAGGAAATCCTCAATCACTGCACCTGCTCACGCTCCCTTCCTGTTTCCCCATATCCAAGATCTGAGGGATTATTTTTATGCTACATTAAGGTCTAAAGTAGATGTAGGCCTGAGCTTTCTTCCATCTTCCACTTCCAGGCTTTTTATCTCATCGTCCCTTTTAGGTCTCTCTTGATTTTATTCTTCTGAAGGCAGTAAAGAGAGAACTGATAACTCTGGCTTGATTTATAATCCCTTTGTTTCTCTCAATAAAGGTCAAATGGAGAGAAAGAACTTTGATCCCCTTTAAAGTCTACCCTCTCCCCTCTTTCAACCCTCTCTTTCCTCCTAGTCCTCCCCTACAATAATGATAATATTGAATACCAGAGGACCTCATTTTAGCACTGATCCAGAGAAGGTCTTGTCCTTGTTAGACTGGGATGAGATCAAGGGAGGGCTTTGCAAGGTCGTTATCTCTATTGTCATAGAAACTGAGGAGAAAGTTGTTTCAAAAATTAACGAAACAGCAATTTGGGGGTGTTATGTTTCTTCCCATATTACAATTTTCAGTAAACCACAGTATTCTTATTCTTTGCAGATGAGAAAATTGAGTCTCAGCCAGGTTAAGAGAATTGCCTGAGGTCTCAAAATGGCACAACTCAGGCTTTTTGACTGCACTAGTTTTCTTCCATTATGCCATGGCTGCTACTTAATAGTTTATTTTATGTTCTATTTTATTTTTTTTAAAGACTGTGGATGAGGAAATTTCCCCACCATAATATATAAAGTTAGTCTGATTCAGGTTAGAAGAATGAAGCCTTAGGAACATTTCCTAACAGAAAAAGAAGAGAGGAAGAGAAAAAGAAAAAAATGTAGATTAAGTATTATATATCAAAGACTATTTACAGTAAAGTGCCAATAGGTCGCATATGGTTGTTTCATTACATAGAGACTCTATTTAAACATCTATGGGGACTTAGTGAAAGCAAAGTGTTGTCTGTCATTGGATTAGAAAAGAGCATTCACACAAATAGGGAGTATCTTTGTGTATTCAGTTTCTTTTGATCTTATCTTGGTTTGTCAAATAAAATACCTAAATGAGCAACTTCAGTAAATGCCTTGCAAAGACTAGAGTGTCACAAATGATGATGATGAAGATGAAAAAATGTCACCTCGTCAGAGGAGTTTGGGAGTGCTTCATCTGCATATTTTGCCTCTCTTGTCTCCTACGACCCGCTTCCCTCCTTCATCCTGAATTGCCATCCGGAAAGGCAAAACCAATATGTATTCCCACTAATTGTATATATATGTGTACCACTTTCTTTGTTCTCTTGACAACACTGGGTACTATCAATCCCTTTATAAAATTTTGCCACTCTAATATGGTAAAGTGAAATCTTACTTTAATTTGTGGTTTCCTGATGACTAATGAGGTTGTCTACTTTCTAATAATAGTAATAATGGCCAACACAGAGTGAGTGCATACACCATGGCAATTATTTGCTAAATCCTTTCAATGAATTCTCTCCTTCTGTGAGGTAGGATATCTGATCATCTTCGCTTTGCACATGAAACTAAGGCATAGAGAGATCAGTGACTTGTCCATGGTCACACAGCCAGGAAGTGATAGCCTAGATTTGAATCTAGATAGTCTGAGTCTAGAGCCTCATGCTTTTAAGAATTATGAGTTACGTTACTTTTTTTCATATGTTAATTGTCCACTTGGATTTCTTCTTATGTGAATGATCTATTTCTCATGTCCTTTGCTCTTTGTTTTATTTACGTTGCCACTTGATAATGAAATTTCATTACCTAAATCAGGGTGATGCTTCTTGTGTTTCCAATGCCTTGAACTTGTAGACGATCCAAAGACCAACTTGTAGTAAGTCAACAGGAAATGACGTTAATAAATTTTAGAAAGTCTCAGGCTTGTAAAATTATGAGGTAGTAAACTATTAGGAAGTGTTTTATATGTTTTGTTTTGATAATGGAGAAATTCCTAGGTCTTCATTATCAATGCCCCAAAATAATAATTTAGAATGTTTATTATATTTTAAAAATGAGTATTTAGTGGTTAGGCCTACTTAAGACATTCTTAAATTAAGCACTTAGAAAAACCAACTCTTAACTTTATTTTTCCACAAATATGTAGTTTCTTGGAATATTTTAATCTGTGCAAATATTGCACAATTTTAATTGGTAGAAAACATTTGTGCCAACCAAGTTAAAAATTGCTAAGAGAGGCGTCCAGGAAAAATTGTCAGTCTGAGATGTTGACTTCCTTTTTTCCTGTTGAAGTAGTGAAGCTCACAGGTGACAGTTAATACTTTTGGTTGGTTTTACAAAAATGAATACTACAGACCAACGGCTACTTCTTTTTCTTTATTTTCCTGGATTCATTTGTTTGTGGGTTAACAGAGTTTTACCTTTTGGTTAGTCTCAGTTATTTGGTTGTTTTTTTAAAGGAGTACAGAAAAATTCTCTGCTTGAATTCAGTAACATAAACCTTCCAGAATAAACACACACACAGCCTTGTGTTTGAAACCAAATGAATATTTCAAATGTTATTTTCAGTTGTTTGAGTCTAGAATTATATGACAACTGGAGCTATGCTATTAAGGCAGGAAGTAGGATGAAACCATTGCTAAAATAGTGGCTAACCATGGACATTTCTTTGGAAGTGCTTAGTTCACATCACTATTATGATGTTTACAGAGTACCCACCTTGAATACAGGTAAGAGACCATGAAAGATTTCCTTGGTTGACATCAGCAACAGTGGACTTCGGCCCAAACAGATGATGGATCTCCCATTCATGAGAATGGCCACGCAGACATAGCTCCCTAGGCTCAGGCTGCCCCCTTCCTTCTATCCACTCTAGTCTAAGATCTTCTCACCCTTGTGTCTTTCCTTTCTGCTTGCGCTTTCTCAAAATCATCTCATCCATTGCTCATTCTCTCACTATCTCTTAATGTAGATTCTATGGAAACAGGAGGGAAAAGTTTACAGAAAAGTGCAGGGAGAGTAAGCATATAAGCCACTAAGGCAGCTGCTGTTCTCTTTCCTACCTTGTTCTCTCACAGCCCCAGGGCTAGTCTCAGATTCTTAGAATATTTTCCATCATCTCCCAAAACAAACCCCTTTCCCCATTCAGCTTCCTCTCAAGAGACTATGCCCCATATGGTCTTATGCTTCAGGATTCTTCTGAACACAAGGCCAATTTTACTACATAAACCTGCCCTCATCGCCTATGTCATCTTTATCTTTTCTGCTAGAGTTGAAGTGGTAGAATGAGAAAACAGACAAACTAGGTATGTCATAAGCAATCTTTTGTCACATTTTTATTCATTCATATATTTTCTTCTCAGCCTTGTTGAGGTATAATCGACAAATAAAATTGTAAGATACTTAAATTGTACATTGTAGTGATTTGCTATACATATACATTCTGTAAGTCACATTTTATCTTTATCACATTTCATCTCTAACTATTTAAAATGCAACTGTGAGAAAACCCACAAAAATAGTTCCATGCTTGCTTTAAGGCCAAGAGAATAGGGTAAATGCTGTGAGATTGCTATGTTTCTCATTTGGCCAGAGAAAAGCCCTAGACAGAAGCAAAAGATGTGGTACTAAGAGTAGAAGCAGGTTGGCTAATGCTCGAGGCTTTCAGGAGACAGGAAGGTGGTGATAAGGCACTGGCCGTGATGGTCGTCTTATTTATCATTTCTCCCAGGAGGCCCTGACTCCAGTTCCCAAGATCCCCATCAAGCCGTATTCTGTTGGAGCCCCTCCCCAGGCCATGAGAACTGCATCAGAAACTTGGATCTGAGAGTGAGGAGAAGGTCTTAGGGAAAAAACGGATGGAATCACAGCTGAGTTTACTCTGTGGATGTGTTTTGTTTGGCTAATATGGTATCTTATTTTTCTTTAAATTTAAAGGCCTTCAGGTGTGGAGTCTTCGGTTTACCACAGTCCGCAGCACCAAGTGTTATTAAATACAGAACAGTTTCGGTTATTTTTGTTGGCTGCCCAGTCTTGAAGACATTTATGATCCTGATTACAATTCCATGGCTGGAAATGGAGAATGGGGAGGTGTACTCTTACTTCTTCCCAGGGCTTATTTAGGGTGAGGCCTTTTATGGCTGGATCTCGGGGAAAAGGGGAAAAGGCTGATCTGATGCCCTAGAACTATTTTTGTTTGTTTGTTTTGTTTTTTAATTTTTTAAAATCTCACCTCTAAAGCTAGTCCCATAGACTACATTCTCCAACACTGTCTACCTTCTTTCACACACAAGCCCCCGTTTTGCTCTGTCCTGACAGTGTTCATGCTAAAATGCTGAATGCAGTTCCTTTCAAGAATATATATGTACATGTATATATTTACTGTTCTTTTGAAAAATCGTTAACAACAAAATAGAGCAAAAGAAAGTCTGACACTTGCACCCAAATAACCCTGACCTTTGAGATTTTTTCTCCAGCAAAACTAGCTCAACTGAAAAGAAATTCGCTGGTTGAAAGTTGTAGTTTTAAGTTTAATTTATTCACGTGTTACTTAGTAAATGAAAAGACAGTGTTTATTAATTATGATTTCAGATACACATCTTTTTTCTTAATACATTGTCTGTAATCTGTAATATAATGAAACCGAAAAGCATTACTTTAAGGAATTTCAGACCTTGACCTCATTCTTATTGTAACTGGCAATGCATTCTATTTTCTTTTTACTGCTGGTTTCTACTGGCAATTCTGTGGATAGTGTGCCTATCTGACTATAAAGAATCAAACACTGAAAGGAAAAAAAAGAACTTAGAACAGTTTAAGAAGAGTTTTTCTCCTTTCTTGTAATTTCCCTGCAAAATCAACCAAGCGCTGAGCTGTCTTAACTTCGTTTCCGGGAGGAGTGGGAGAGAGCTGGATATGGATTGAAGAACAATGTCTAATAAAAAGAAATGAACAGGTTTATTGTCTAAGTAAAAATGAAATTTAATAAAAAAATGGTATGCTTTTCGTTGTACCTGTGAATGTTATTTTATAGAAATCAGTAAGAATTGAAAAATGGTTAAGGTCGTAAGTTTTATATTATGTGTATTTTGCCATAATAAAAAAAATTGGAAAAAAATCAGTAAGAACTGAGGCAAGTTACGAATTGTGATTTGAGAGGAGAGCTTTAGTTTCTGAAGCTCACAGAGTCAGTATGAGAATGACTGTTCAAAGCAAGAAGCTAATTAGCATGTGTTCAAGTTCTTTATTGTCAACTGCGATTAAGTTTGGCTATTTTCCCCCTTTAAACTAGGATAGGTTAATCCAAACAGCAGGAACAGCAAAGCAAAGGAAAAGAAACATAAAAACTTGTGGCAGAGAATATTCTTGGAAATTGATACCTTCCACGGGTATCTTGTGCAATTTGAAAACAAGTGTTTTAATTGTATGAAAATCCATTAAACATCCGTTAAGGAGCTGTCTCAGAATATTGTATCATTAAGTAATAGCAGTTACTGATTTTTCTTAGCTGCAAGTGGGAAATGTGAAGAAGAAACTGGACTAAAGGAGACATTTTGGAATGACGTAGTTGGCCTGTAAAACCTGCTCTGAAGTTGTTATAATTCTTTCTGGCTCATTTATTGTACTTTTCGGGATTTCAGTCATGCTCGTCAGTAGAGAGAAGAAACTAAGACTAGGAGGAAGCTGGACAGGAAAAACAGGTTTCCTTCCAGGATTATGGTTCTTAAACTTCTTTTGGGCTACGAATCCTTTGAAATGTAAATGGAAATTCATTTGCATATACCCCAAACTATCTATACATAAAATTAATGTTGAGGGTTCATAGGTTGTCTGAAACTCATCCATGAATCATCCAGAGTTCTGTGGACCTTTGCTTTAAAGTCTGCCTTCAAGTTTGGGTAGCTAGCAATCTGATGCCCAGAGTAAACTTTGACTCAATGGTGGTCCAGTCTGGAATATGGTGGACAGCAGTAGGAGGATTTAGGCAGTGCTGACTTGCAAAGCTGGGGAGGCATCATAAAGAATTCTCCAGATCATCACATTATTCCAAACCAGGCTCCAGACTGCAGCTAAGAGTAGAGAGGAAAGGGCTCCATCTGTCCATAAATGAGCAGTTTCAAATAGTTAACCAGGTTCACACTCCTTATTGAAAAGGGCAGCCCTCATAGCAGACTAGAGTACTCAGCAAGCAATTGAGGCAAATCTAGCTTGGGCTAACCCAGTAAGGGTTTGGATACTATGTGCTACTTGGAGAACTAAGGGCTTATGCTTGCCAAACACTATGCCTTTAGCAGCAAACTAAATTTACAAGCATCAAGGAGATTCTTTTTTGTACTTTATGCCCTGGTTGTAGTTATCTTAGGAATTTCTGAGTGGAACCCTGTGGATAAAGAGTATCATAGACTGTAGTTGAGGATGGCTGAAAATGTGAGGAAGAGTTAGTGGTACCTGTACATTTTATTTCTGGACATGAACTTGGACCACAGTATATAGAAGGTTTGAGAGTAGCATTTACCTTTTACACAGAAAGCCACACATAAAGTCACTTGGTATAGAAATAGTATCTTAAGCACTGCTCTTCTCCTTGGGTGAAGGGCAGATTAGAACTCATTATGCCGGTTCCTAGCAGACTTTCTGTATCAACCCAGTTCTTAAGCATGACCTTATTTTTTCCTTCTAAGTCAGTGATTGAGGCTGTGCTTTAAGGAGAACATATTTATTTGGTATTTTTTCCTCCCTCTTAATGACTTGCATCATCAGACTCATCCCCCGAGCATGGTCTGACTCAGTGTGTCATCTGGCATATCCACACCTGCCACATTTCAGCCCTGCTCTGTCATGCATAAAAGTCCAAGCAACATGCTGTTTAAATGGAGCCAGGCTGACAGTTTCCATTCATTCAAATAACATCTGTGAGATTTGCACGGATTAGTATTCAGATGACAGACATCTAGTTTTTATTCAAATAAAGAGATACGGACTGGTTCATTTTAACCATGAGCAGGCAGGCACTAGAATAGATTCACATCTCCTCATTGAAATGAATGAATCAGTGACTGTTATTTTACCAAAGGTATTCCATCTAGCCTGCCAAACCATTTAGTCCAGGGTCCTGGTACCTTTATCAAGAAAACATCACTGGATGTGGAAATAATACTATATTTCTTATTATTGGGAAATTGCACTGAACTAGTTAAAAATCTCATTAAGTATCTCCTCTCTTTACTGCACTGGAAGAGTCTACTTTTGAAATTGCCAGGTTTGCCCAAACTAATCCACATAGCTCCCTCATTCTTCAAGAAGATGGAATGTAACCGACTATGTAGGTTAGAATGACAGTCATTTTTCAGCGATTGGTTTTGGTCAGATAACTGTTACAAATTCTGTGACCTGAAGAAGACTGAGGAGGATGGTGAGAGGAGATGGTAGGGGGTCAAGATGTAGAACACAGGGGTACCTATGGATTCCGTCTATTGTGGGAATTGATGGCCTTAGCTCCATGTTGGAATACGGATGCCTTATAGAGAGCTACCCATCAGCAGGTGTAGACTTAAGGGCAATTTTCAGAGCACCAGTCATAAAGAAGGTGGCTCTACGTAAGCTGCCTATTTGTGTGGCGTAAGCCAGGTAGTCTTAGAGAGTGAGGAACTGCTTCTTTATTATTGTAAATGCTGAATCATAGGCAAAACCCTAGAGTCTAGAGTTTCCTGCACTCTTTTTCCCAGGCCATCCCCAGAAAAAAATGGGAGGTAGAGTAGATTAGTGTCCAATGCCTTCCTGTTCTTTGTTTCCACCCCCAATGCCCTCCCTCACTCAGACACTCCCTGCACCTTAGGTCTCCTTTCTTTCTTATCTCCATCAAAGCTGTATCTCTTTCAAAAGAAGTCAGAATCATATCTACCTTAACCTTAAAACATAACTGACTGCTGACTTTTGCTTTGCCTGAAACAAACAAAAAACTGAACAAAATATATGAAACAGTGGCTTCAAGACATCAGAGAGTGAAGGACAGCAATCCCTGAGAAACAGGGAACAAGTGAGGTGAGCCCTACAATGGCCCCAACATATGGCAGTGAGAGACACCCAGGCCGCGGTGTGCTGGAGGGGAACCCAGGTGAAGCCTGGTGTACGAACTCTCTAAGTCAAAAAAATGAGGACATTTTTGGTTGTCTCTATGACTAGGGACGCTGTAGACCTCTAGTGGACAGCAGTTGATGGAGTAGTCCTGAATAACAAAGAATTTCCCCAGCCAAATTGTGCAAGTGCCACTAAGGAGAAACACTGACAGGTGCTCTCTGCCAGAATGCTGAGGAAGGTTAGGGAGTATCTAAGACTGTACTGTACTGACACTGGGATGCCAAAGATAGAACAATTTCTGAAAACAGGAGCAGCATACAATTAGTTGTTTAGCTTAAGAATTATTTATGGAAGAAAATATTATGACATGGGATGTGCTTTGACCAGTCTGAAGGCTTCAGGGAGAATTTTCTTTGTTTAGGATATTGTAAAAACCCATGATCCAGAAGCACTCTTTCGTTAGTAATACATCCTGATCTCTTTTGAATTTTAATTTTATCCTGGCATTGCCTTTTGGGAACAGGTGTCTTTAAAGAAAGAAACATATGGTTTGAATGTGGATTCATGAACTGAGTCGCATTCCTGCGGATGAAATGACACTTCAGGCAAAGTGCAGGCTGCCCACCTCAGAGCATTCTGATCATTAATTATAAGTAAGTATCTTGCCCTCTTGGTGATAAATGAAAAGAAACAACTCTTCCTATTTAATGACTATATTAATTATGAAAGAAAAAATGTTATTATGCTGGAAAACAAATCTTTAGTTTCAAAGCATAAGATTATTTTGTCTTACAGTTTATTAACGTAGAAATCAATACTTATGTGATAGATGATTGACATATTCAACAAAATTACTTTTATAAATAGTTTGCCTTTGCTGAGCAGAGTTGAGGATAATTGTTGGCTAATATGCGTTTCACTTCCTTCCCTTGATCAATGCTCCTTGAGTGTGTTCTATGGAGAGGAATAGTGCCAGGTGCTGACACACAAGGTGAACAAGACAGACACTGCCTTTGCTCGCTTCCTTCTTTAAATTGCTGTCAGTTCCTAAAAATGAAGTGGTTGGGCCTGGAGAGGTGCTTCTCTAGTGGGTTGCTGTGGAAAGGATACAGGGAAAGAATCACTCTGGAGTAGAGTGGGAGTTGGGGTCTGGGGAACAGCTCTGGCGCCAATATATGACCCTGAGCAAATCACATTACCCACTGGGCATGAGTTCCTTCATCTGTGAAATGAATGAATTGCTCTTTGATCTCAAAGATTTTTTCAGCTTTAATTTATGATTGGAGGAGTTCTGCTCTTTGCCCCAAGGGATGGGTTTTCCTCCCAAAGCAAAGTTTATGTGCTAAGCAGAGACCTTACTTTACCCTCCCCTGATGATTGTTTCCCTGCTACACCCTATTGTTCAGAGAAGGATGACTGAGTGACTGAAACATCCCGTATTCATTCTTTTCTCCTGATCTTTTTCCCTTAGGTAAGAGTCATGGTTGTCCTAGGTCCCTTAGGAGACTTTTTAGAAGGCTGAAGGCTCTTCAGTTCTGATGATTATTCATTCAGTACAATGGACAGGCCCAATGTTCTTAAATATGTAATTCATCTTAATGAACTCTGATAGTCCGACCTGACCTAACTTAATGTATATGCAGCTTTATTGAGTATCTTTTCTATTATTTTGCATTAGCATAGATGCCCTATAATTATTAATATAAAAGCTTAGAAAATTACTTTCCAAATTTCATCTGTAAGCATGAAGAATAATAGCATTATTTATTTGCCATGGCAATACTTTGAACAATGCCTAAAACACTGTGAGCATTCAATAAATGATGCTGTTATTCTTTTTCTGATTAGTGAAGTTTACAAATGTTTCCATATTTGGTAGGGCAAGCATCCTCTCATTATTTTAGTTTTCAAAAAAGGATTGGCTATTATCAGTGAATTGTCCTTCAGATGACCTTTAGAATGGTTTTTATCAAGACCCCAAGGGAGTGAGGGAAAGAATACCACTGTATAAGTTTCCCTTTCTGTTTCAGTTACCTATTGCTGTGAACGAAGCCACTACAACACTTAGTGGCTTAAAACAAGAACAATGTATTATTTCTTACAATTGTGTGGGTTAGCTAGGCTCAGCTGGGCAGCTCTTCTGCTCTGTGTTGTGTAGGCTGAGGTTGCTTAAGTCGCCATATTCAACTGGGAGCTATGCTGCAGCTGGGCTAGAAGGTCCAAGAAGGCCTCTCTCACATGTCTGCAGCCTTAGTTCTCACTGTTTCTAGGATGCCTTGAGTCTTCTCCATATAGCCTTTCTCTCTAGCTAGATAGCTTGGACTTCCTTCTAACATGGCAGCATGCTTCTATTACTGCAGAGGTAGAAGCCACAGGTTCTTAAGGCCTGGACTCAGGGTTGCACAGTATCACTTCCACTGTATTCTATTAGTCAAGGCAAGTCACAAGGCTAGCACAGTTTCAAGGTGAGGAGAAACAAATTCCACTCATCATAGAAGGGGCAATATACACATCCCAGGAGGGGAGAATTTGATGGAGTCTGGTAATTTGGACCAATGTTAGCATGGTCAGCAGTTAGAAAGAAAAGCTGGACATTGAGCAAAAGAGAGGGAGGACAAGCTGGAATTCATTGAAACCTCTGTATCTGTTTCACTGCAAATAACTGTTATCTGCTTCAGAGAGCAAGAACTGCTCCTTCACTTCCACATCTTAAATCCCATTCAGACATCTCTTTTGGCCAATTCTAACTCAGAACCATGCAGAGAAGAGGAATCTGGGAACATAGCTCTAGCTTAACTAAGCTGAAAATAGAATGATCCAGTACTCTATTCAGGAACATGGTTTACCTGTCCATTCATTTCAAGTTCCCTTTTATCCCATTTAGAGGTTTTTTTAAATAGTTTTGTTCATGTAACTCTATTTTATTCACACAAGTTTAATGAGGTTTCATTTTCTTTACTGCTTTTATGAACGGCATTTTCCCCCTATTTTTTTGTTGATTGTTGTTAGTATTTATGTAGTGCTTTTCAAAACATGTTTTTATAACTGGACAGGTTATTGAAATAATCAGTTCTCATAGCCTTTTCACCAATACAATTATATTTTGTTAGACAAATGATCATGTTCGGACATTGAGAATTTTACTTTCTTCTTTCCAAAATTTATAACTCATATTTTAAGTCTTGATACACTGGTTAGCACTGCCAAGGAGGCCCTCTGCTTGAGATTTATCCTTTATAGGCCTCCACATATCTAAAGACTACAACTGAAATAAATTTACTAAAGAGCTTATGTATGCCACTGCTGCTTGCGCTTCTGTACTCAATGATGATATAGTACAACCTGTAACCTTAAACATGCGCTTTTTCACTAACTGAATGTTCCTAGAGGACATTCTCCAGAGAAGTTTTTCTCCCCAACTCTTGCCCAATGTCCTTGAAACATAAGCCAATGAAAGATTTTGGGGATTGTGCCACTGCTGACATTGGTGATAGACAGGGTTTTGCAATGCAAGGAGGCTTGGAACAATTTTAGTGCTTAGATCCTAGAGAAGACACATTAATTACTTGAAAAACCTTTTCTGTCATATAGCATGGATGTGATAGAATTTTGTAAGCATCCATTTTCTTTCTTCTCTTCCTGTTCTAGTGCATAGCTCTGGAGGTACTTATGAATTAGAACAATGTTTGCCATGGTGCACTTGGCAGCTGAGGAATATTCTGCAAGATCAAACAATTCCTGTTATTCTAAATTTTGTATATATGTAGATCTAGATATAACATGTGAAAACTAATATAGTTCTTTACATTACTGGATGGATCTGATGTTGCTTTAATGATGGTTGAAATTGCAATGTAACTTTTATAAACTGGCAATGAAAGGAAATATTTTGTAATATTTTCCATAATGATAATTTACGATATATGACCCATTACAGTGTTTGAACATGATATGGAGAACTTACAGATGTTTCTGAATCCAAATATCACTTTAAGATTTTTGTTGATGCTTCCAGTTGCTGCTCTCATAGCAAAATGAAGTTTCTCCAAATTGAAATTGTCAAAAAAATTATCCAAGATCTACAATGACTCAAATAAGATTGTCTAATTTGATGTTACTATCAATAAAATACAAATTATTTGAAAGTCTTGACCATAGCAATGTAATTAGTGATTTCATTGAAATGAAGTAAGAGAATGAATTTACAGAATAAATCTATGATAATTTATAAATTGTGACATAATTAAAGATTACAAGTATACTAATAAATAAATCCAGTTGTCTTCGGTGTTTTGATGACTTGTAAATCATCAAAAAATCATTGGTTTACACATAGTTCTAAAAAATTATGTGTCATTAGGGCTGGTAAATAGGTGGAGTCAGGAAACAGTTTCTAGACTACAGATGCACCTGAGTCACTTTCAGTGTATGGGCTGTGATGCTATTTTGGGAAGCACCCTAAGACTGTGACCTCACTCACCTGGAGAGGGATGTATGTCAAGTTATTGGATCGAACATATTTTAACTAGCAGCTTTTCAGCTTTATTTTTAGCTTCTAATTAGTTAGTTGTATGGTACATGGGCCTCATTTTGTACCCTTGTCCCAGAACCCACAAAGATTAGAGGAAAGCCTGATCAAAACTATATTAAGGTTATGATAGTTTTAAGTCCCTGTCTTGAATCTTAATGGAAAGGCTTTTATTATTTCATAATTTCATATGATGCTAGTTATTCTGCTACTTGAGTTTGTTATTTGATTAATTTGTTAGTCAGCAGGATATTTCCTTGAGTGAATGTTTTAGGAAGCCTTCATAATTGTTATACTTTCTATAGTAAGGAATATCTTTTCTTGCTGTCACCTGTGATCTCTTGCTTGTCTATTTGATCCTTATGTCACTACCTTTTCTTTTAAAATCTTTCAATTGTTTTTATATTTGAAGAAGATATATTGATACAAATATGATTTTTTCCTGTTTCATTCAATTCATTCAATAATTACTTACTGCGAGCCTACTATGTGTAGTGTACATAACTTGGTTTCTCCTTCTTGAGTTTTTATGACTTTGTTGAAATTTAAATTCTTTTTTACTTACTATATTCATCTCTATCCTTTTCTTCTGAATCGGAGGAGAATTTCTGTAGCTGGTCTCATTCATGTTTGTGGTATTTCTGCAGTACGCAATCTGCTGTTTGCTGTCATCGCAATGTTTGTAATTCAACTCTTGCCTTTCATTTAAAAGCAATTTTTCCTGGTAGAATAGCCTTCCCTCTTTATGGATGCAATGTCCTCTAGAAGGTCTTAAAGAATATAAGTTGATATTTTAGTTATTTATTTTTTAAAAATAAATCTTTCATAGGACAATATGTGCTTTATTCCTTATTCATTCAACAAGTATTTATTGAATGTCCATTATGTGGTAGGCATTGTTTTAGGCACTGGGGATATATTAATGAGCTAAAGAGATTTTATATTAATACATGATATATCAATGAGCTAAAAGGATTCTTAAATCCCTGCCCTCAGGGAGCTTACATTCTAATGGAGGAAGAAAGGTGATCAGCAATGAATGTAATTTTTTGAAGATCACAGGATCATTCATATGTTCTATGACTTGCTAGAAAGACTCACAGGACTCAGAGGTCATTGTACTCA